GTGACTAAACTTCCCCATTTACATAAAACACAATACTGATATCTTATTTTGAGAGTGAGTGTAGGTAGAAAACAAGAATTTAAAGGAAAGGGTTTCAAAATTAAAAATAACTAGTTGAAAATTAAAATAAACCCTAAAGTCTAATTATTTAAATGATTCCACTAAATATGTAATGTAGGTTAATTTAATGTTCTCGGTTCATCATATGGAAAGTGATTTCTTTGAACAATGAAAAGTGGAATTTCGTTGACCATATGTGAGATTTGCTGTCAATTTGAAATATGTATAATTATAGTTCCTACTTGTACTTCAATATAAGTCAAGTTTACAGCGAGTTGTGGTTTCTATAAAAAGCATGGAAACTTACACCACTATTACATGCATTTCATGCCATTAATGTGTGCCACTAAAACTTTTTCATGTAAAGCATGTGGTTTATTGAATAATCATTTGCACTGAATATTTTTAATTTTGAATTTTATGCCAAATTTTCATTGAACATTACCTTTATTGCAAACAACTGATGACTCCTGATTAGTTAGTGAAAACCATAAAACTCGTGTCAAACATGCAAATTACTCGTATGTATGATCAGAAACTGTAACACTATGAAAGAGCATAGCTGGCATCTTCAAAGCTAGTAATTTTTTTTTCGAGTGACGTGTCTGACTTAAGTACTTGCCTTTTGTGTCCATCAGTATTAAAGTATTACAAATGTTTTTAATTAATTATATCAAAATTTATAGTTTGAATAATGTGTTTTAATATCATAATTTGAATTTCCATTTAGATTTAAGAGACTGATTAACTGGTTATGACACAATCTGTCCAAAATGTATACCTTTAAAGAGGACATTCTAAGACCCAAACAAGCATGAATATTCCATGTAGTTAGCCCTTTCACCAAGAACTGAACCTGGAACAAACTGTCAGTGTTCAAAAGTCTTATTAAGCCATTGGTTGGAATTCAAATGATTATGTTTTGTTTAATAATGATAATCTGTTTAAAGTAATCATTTTTATATAACTAAGAGTTAGGTTTCTTTCATCTACTTGCAGTCTTCTGAATGTATGACTTTCATATATTTTATGTATTTGGTTATATTTTCAGCTTTCCTCACCCGCACTTTTTTTTTTTTTTTTTTTTTTTTTTTTTTTTTTTTTGTAAATCAGCTATTTGTCATTTGTACGGAACTTTGGTCTATAATTACTAGCAAGGATAATATTTGTATGACAAAAATTTTTAATGTTCTGTTTATGTATTAGTTCTATCATATTAGTTAATGTAACTATTGCATATGTCACCTAGGTCTAGTTTAGCTATTACATAATTCACCTATTTTATTTGACTTTTATGAAATGAAAATTGTGTGTTATTGATTCTTTCTCCTTTTGTACTTGCATAGTATCCCATTTACCATAAAACTGTTACCATGCAGCATGATTTAGTGCCAGCTATGGACAAGCATGTTACAGAAATACACTTTTAACATCCACTCTTTTGTTTGATGTAACCCTGGTTGATTCTCGATAAGCTAGCTTTTGTTTTTTGAATCAGCAATTGCAGTGTAGTGTGAGAAATTGTGACAAGAGAATATCCATTTTAAAAGGAACATGGTTTGGAGGTTACAGCATCATATTTATGACTGTTCATTTGCAACTGGTCGAAAGAATTTACATCCATTTCAAAAGGGAAATGGCCAACTAAACAGTAAAAGATTGGAACAATTACCTACAAGAAGTTTGTACTTATAGTATTCTAAACAGAGCTTCCGCTAAAGTTGGAGGGCATAAGAAAACAGTAGATAGATGAGAACCACTTGACGAAGGGCAGAAATGAAGCAGGTAGAATACCGATTGTTTATTAAATAAAGAGGCATTAGTTCTTTCAGAATTCTTCTGGAACAGTTGGTGTAACTTTGACAGGATATGTGCAAACGTTCACAGTCGATGCGATAAGTAACTACTTATTTTTTTATGTTTCTCTTATAGACTCTTTTAAAAACAATGTCTCATCAGCTTGCACAATTTTTAAAAATCTGAATATGGAATATCTTTCTTTTAACAAAGGAAATTTTTAAAGTCTTGGTTCCCCCTCCCTTAATATTAACTAAAAACAAAATAAACCATAACACGTAGGTCAACAGTGGCCATCATCTGTGTATATCGTATAATTAGCAATTATTTTGTATTATTGAGTATTAGTATCATTTTATTCGTGTTGTAGAGACCATTAGGCATTTAATTTTAGAGCGCAAGGCATGAAAAATGTGCAACGCATTTGCTAGGATTCGAACTACAGGCCTCCCAATTGCTAATCAGGCATGTTTCCAATCAAACCAATCAGCTATGGGAAGAGAGGAAATGCCTTATGTTCTCTTCTTTTTAACCCATTCCCTGCAGTTGTTCACATTTGGGGATCAAAATTGTTTTTAATGTGTCTTCCCTCCCAGTTTCTCATTTTTTATTTATTTTTATGTTATGGTTATTTATTTATTTATTTATTTATTTATGTTTTTGTTCATTTTATCTTTATTTAAGTTATGTGATTAATCATACTCTAAACTTAATGTATATGTTATATACTATATATATGTAGCATCTGTTTCAAAAGTTTGCTTGTAAATGATGCTTTTCACATCTGCATATTTGCTAAGTAAATTTGTGATAATTGGTTTGTAGAGGTTATGTGCATATGTGTTCTGAATAACATAGTATCAAAATTGAAGAAATTGTTTACTTTATAGCTTGAGCACCTGCGGAATACAAAGATTCCCATTTAGGACTCATGGCTATTGAACATAAAATGATTTACTATTTATTTTCATTCCAGTTATCTGTTGCTACCAGATGTTTTGAGAAGGTGATTTGGAAACACAATTGTTCCTAACTAATATGGTAGCTTTGCTAATCCATTTTGCCCATTGAGCAAAAGAAATTTACAATTTTTTAGGGCAGATGGTCATGAACTCTGCGCTGAAAAGTTGTTTCATCGATAGATCTTTGAATTACTGGTTGAATTTTCATAAATGACTTTACTAGTATGATTTGTATTCTTATAAATACTTTTTGATGCAGTCAGTTTGGAAAATCATGAGTATGAATGAACAAATGATACGTTATTATGGTCATCATTTTCTGAAGCAATTTATTACAGGAAATCCAATTTGCTTTGGTTTCAAGCAATGGGCAATGTTTTATAGTGTGACTGGATATTACTATAATGCTGAAATATATGAAGTTCAGCTAAGCAGTAGTTCAGGAAAAGATGCATATAAAATGGGCATCTCAGTAATATTGAATAAATTAATGACTGTGGGCAGACCAGAAGAGCACTGCTTTTATTTTGATTTTTTCACAGGTTTTGATGTGATGAAAGTCTAAAAGGGAGAAGTATACCTGCAACAGGAACAGTGAGATATAATACGAGGGCTATCCAGAAAGTAGATTACGTTTTGGAATAAAAAAATAAACAAAGTATAGGAAACAAATTTTATTATATACAGATGAAAGCCACACTCAAATACTACTTTTCTACATAGTCACCATACAAATTAAGGCATTTATCGTAGCGATGTACGAGCTTGGAAATTCCTTCGTCGAAAAATTCGGCCGCCTGCGCCTTCAACCACTTCGTTACCTCTTCTGCCTTCCATCTTGCACAAAACTTGTGGTAACCAAGCTTTTCGCTGATGATTTCGTTGCAACAAACTTCACGAAATTTGTGGAAAAACTCAAAGAAAGTTCCGTTATTGTGAAATTTCGATTTTCACGGACTTTAGCATCGACTTTTTCGAGAAGTTCGGCGGTCACTATGCTGGGGGTCTCCCACTTCGATCTTCGTCGTGAACATTGGTTCGGCCATTTTGAAATCTTATGACCCACTCCACCTTCAGTGATAATGTTGTCCCCATACACTTCACGAAGCTGCCGATAGATTTCTATCGGTTTACAGTTTTTTGCAGTCAGAAACCTTATTACTGAGCGCAGCTCGCGGGATTTTCAATTAACGCAGACATTTCAAACCGTCACAGTATCTGAACGGAGCACAGCACGAACATCTCACTAGCACGGCTAGATGCAGACTGAGCTGCACAACGCTCTGACCCCAAGATGGCCGCGCTAGCCCCGCCCCTAGCGGACACAGACGGAAACGTAATCTACTTCCTGGATGGCCCTCGTAGGATGAATGAATGCGCTATAAAAACAGATAAAAAATAATAAAAATTTGTGGTTGCTTTTGATTATAGGTATGATGAAATAAATGGAGAATTTGGCCTTGTTTGGAAAGAAAACAACAATGTTAGGATATTATGAAACCATTTCGAAGTTTTACCTTTGAGACGTGCAAAGATGGTGTCAAACTGGAATATCAATAACACATTTAGAATGTCATATTGCAGGGCACTCGTAAGAAAATTACTTGTATGCAATTATTTACATATAATGTGCTGTTGGGGATTGATTTTTAAATCAATAAAGGTCATATATTTATTTCCAATAATGTAAAATTAAATGCACTGTGTTTGTTTACATGCGAAAGACATATTTTTTTTTTTTAATCTATCAGTTAATAACTACTGGGGAAGAGGTGTTCCTATTGCCAAATACTGGCAACGATAAACCACTTTAGTCCACCACTTTTAGTTTAGGCGCCATTGTAGAGGGTATTTGGGCATTTATTCCAAAGCAGGAAACAAAAAAGAATGCAGTGCCTTTGCCAGGATTTGAACTCTTCAGCTCCTGATTGCTAGCCAGACATGCTTCCAATCACACCGTGAAGGAATGCTTCAAGGAGGGAGAAATACCTAACAGCATTAGACCAATATTGGAATCGTGAGTGTTATTTATACCAAAAATAGCTCTTTAGAAAGTGTTTTGAAAAGCAGTTAAGAAATGTGTAAATATGCTGTATTATAACAGAAGTGTGAATTAATGTTATGTTTATATATTAAAAAAATTCATAGTGGTTTTTCTTTCTTTCTCTGCTTCTCTTTTAGGGACTTAAATTTGAAATTTTTCCTTCAAGATTTGAGGAGAACTTGGAATTAAAAGATTTTTCTTCTCCTGGTGATTTTGTCATGGAAACTGCTAAGCAAAAGGCTCTAGCTGTTGCTGCTTATCTTGAAAAAGAAAAGGTATGTCTCATTGTGCATGTTTATAACTTGTACAACCATATAAAATTTTGTATCACTGCTTTATCCCATCTGTTTCATTAGGCTGATGAAATATTGCTGATTGAGATGCTAATTAACCAAGTATTATGAAGTTCATTGAAGGTCGTTTTCAAAAATATCACAATGGCTCAGAATCCACTGAAAGGCAGTTCTCTTTTTGTTCTCTTAGCTCAAAAAGTTTCATTTTACAAGAATGAACCTGGGCATTTTTATTATAGTTAGAATTGATAAGTGACAAAATAGCAGCTTGTGAATCAATGAAAGGCACAATATTTTGATCTAGGCAAATTTTGATGTGTCAATTAATCAGGCAGACAGATTCGCCAAGGCCAGACCTCTTATGACCCTACCTGATTCCCCTTTGCATAATATTAAAAGAATTATCTGTGCATATAATAAAAGGAAGATTCTGTCTGTATTCTTGGCAGTGTGGATATAGGCAAAGCATATTTTGCTTTCCTTAAAATAAAGTTAAGGCTAATCTAAATAAAATTCATGCTTTATTCCATAAATTAAAGTAAAATAAGCTAACACTGTAGCCTTTACATTTAAAACCATTTGAGGGAAAGAAAACTAGCATAATGCTAACTTAGAGAACACACACATTCACCAATACCAGCGTACATATATATATATATACTCGGCCAATCTTGACATAAGCGGGAACAACGTTAGCTTACTGCCGATTGACCTGCGATTAAAATTTGCATAAGGAAAACTAAAGTTAACATGTATGCGTGTGTGTGTCTTTCGTTCGTGCTGCATGTAAGCTAATAGACACAGGGCTATGAAATTTGGTAGATACGTGCATCTAAACAAGAGCCAGTGCACCTCGAAGCAATTTTTTTCAAAATTCAAATGAGTTTTATTTATTTATTTATTTATTTGATGAAATCGCTTCAAATCAATAATTCTCTCGCATTATATTAGCAACAATGGCACACAGCCAGTGTTGCTGATATATCACTGTTGCCACTCGGAAAAATGAGGGCGAAAATTAGCGTTTAAAGAGTTTTTAATTAATTTTTTTTTAAATCCACATCGACTTTTTTTCAGGATCCAGAAAAGAATTGTAGAAAGTTTGGTGACGATAACTAAAGTAGTGACTGAGTGAACAAACACACAGACTTTCTAAAATTAGATGGCTGTGATATGACTTGCAGAAGTTAAATGACATTGATATGACTGCTGACACATTTTCTCAGAAGATTGCTGAAAGTATCATAACATTTTAACACATCATCATATGTTGGGCATTATAAAAACTTTATGCTTTTTCTGTATATTTTTCCCATAATTCTAAAGACATGTTCAGCATCATTAACTGTGTTAGTTGGTTAATTTATTTATTAGGTTAATTAATATTTGTATTAAGGGATATTGCTTATTTCATTGTAATTTATATATATATTACGTAGGGCCATATGCAAGGGGTGTTGGAATCTCAACAAATGAAAAAATGTTTCAAGACGTTACAGGGCCATCAGTCCCAGGTGTTCACTTGAGGCATTTTTCTGGTACATTTAAAAGCCAGACGAAGGTTGGCTATGTAGCGGCTAGTATATAATAAAATGAAAGATAGCAGACTATCCTTATATGTTGGTGCAGCAGTGGGATATCCTGCTTGACAAAAGAAATATCCTCAGTTCCTTACCTTGGGCTGTTGAGTTGATTATTTAGAGGAACATTTGCATCTAATTGGACTTAAGGATTCAGCTTGTTGCTTTCTATGTCATCAGGGTGATATGGATGGTGACCACCTCAAGAACTGCCCTATTATTTTAAAGTTTATTACAGATAACTCTATTGAGTCTAATTTTTACCCTTTCCTTTTTACACTCTCATCATTTTATTGTGCTACTCGTTCACTATTGGCAGAAATGCCAAAGACGTGATATGCTAAAAAAGCAGAAGTTTTTTTGAAGCAAAATCTTGTAGAACAATGAAGTATATTTAATAATTGGCATAAATGTTACTTGTAACTTCCTTATTTTCTGTACTAGAAATTCCTCCTAAAATGTTTAATATGAGAAGAAAGCTCAGGAAGGATATTACTTTCTGATAGTAGATATCTTTGTATCCTTTCATTTTTTAGCCCAAAGGGGCTATTTGCACAGAAGGGCTATTAATTTCATTTTGGCATTTTGCGTTTATTCAATATAAATGGCAAATTACTTTTTAAATTGTTGCCACCAAATATTATAGCCCTGTATTATATTTAAAGAAATTAAATAATGAAGAATCTGCATAAATGTATGTATGTTTCTTGCATTGTAATAAAACAGCAGTAACTAGAGCCATCATATTTTGAATAATATACATCTCCACCCGAATATGGGCATCTGGATGCCCAAATTTGGAATTTGTTTTATTATCTGTTTTGTGAAGCATTTATTTATTTCCTGCCTTCTATTTTGTTGTTGCTATCAATGCTACTGTCATTCGTCCTTAGCAGTTGTTCACAAGAGTATCTTTTGATTCTTTTTTTTTTTTTCTTTTTCTGTACAGTAATTAGAATGAGATTTAATATTGTTAGAATTAGGAACAAATGCTGCAATCATTTAAAATTTATTTACTGAGTTCTTTTTAAGCTTTTACTAGGAAATTCCTGTAAATTAGTCTAGGTTAATAAATTTGGCTTTTAGAAGGATAATTTTCCTTTCATTAACTGACAATTTCATTCACCATTTTAAATCGTAGAAATGCTTGATACATAATTACTATACGGTGGTAAAGGTATCTTTTCTTCCTTATGCCTCCACGCAATTAATTTTTTAGGATGTTCACATAATCACTTTTTACTGATTTCTCATGGATGTGAATTGTTGACATCTATCATCTTGTATATCCTGACAGAATATGCTTTGTCGATCCCTTATATGTTATTGCTTTGTAATTGAAATAGTAAAGCATGGCTAAATGTTTCATTGCCATATGCATACATTAGCATATCAAGTATCTTGTTACTGCTGTTACCTGTTTTATCTCAAAATTCTTTGACCAGTTTTGAAGGCTGTGTGTTCTGCATGTTCAAACACATTGATATACAGTATAAAGTTCGAGGTCCTGACGCGTCAGGACTTTGACGATTCCAGATTTGAGATTTTTCCGGATATTAGATCATCAGTTTAAATCTAGTAAGATGGCATGTAGAAATTATAAAATTAAAAATATGAAATCATAATTTATGAAGTGATGACACATTTACAATCAAAATCATAAATGAAAAAAAAGTATCAAAATTTTAAAATAAACTTAATATTTATCTGTTTACTTTATTCAACATTTCTTTCAATGTAAATTGTTTAAGTTGCTTCATTTTTTGTGCTAATACTTTCTCTTTAATTCTCAAGACAGACATAATTTCTTGTTTAGTTACATAGTTGAAGTCCTGTAATTACTGTGTCGAGAATTCTGACTAACTTGTCAATTAAAATTTTTCTGTTTTCAGTAAATTCTCTCACTTTCTTCACTATTGGTAAGTGGTACTTTCTTGATCTAGAACCATATACAGATTTTCCCATCCATTAGTTGCTTGATGATTGAGGAGCATTGTCATCACAATGAAAATCTTTTGTATCATCTTCATTTATTACCTCATCTCCACATTTCTTTATAAAATCCTTTAATTTGAAAATTTCACCTTTGGTTTGCGATATCCAAAAACCTTCAAAATTCGCAGCTATCCTCATAATATTTAGCTATCGTTCACTATACATAATTGGCTGTATATCGTGAGATTGGCGACTAAAGACAAGTTTTTCCACTAAATTTTATCTTGCTTCTATCTGAGACAATTAAGTCAGAATTGTATTAGTTTAGTTATTTATTATTCTTATGTCTATTTCTTGCACATGCTTAAGGCTTATCTGAATATTGAATAAATAAATTCCCACATATGCTTAAGGCTTATTGAGGGCCGGCGCTAGATAAATTGCCGCCTGATGGCAGCCTCTGTGGGTACTAAATTCTGCTACCAACCGCTTCCCTTTGTCTTCCCTAAATTCTGCCGCTTGGTGTGGCTATACAAGCCCTGGTGCTGGTTCTCTGTTTATGTGAATAACAAATCAGTTATTCTTAATTCAAATAGCACTAAATGTAATCTTTTGGCCTATCAGCATCATTAACAAAATCTATTCTTAGCATATGTAAAGAAATTTTTCCTTGTCAACATTTCTCAGTGCATTTAACTTAAATCTGTAATCATTGCCAAGCGTAACGCAAAAGGTTACTCTTTATTATTCAGTTTCTAACATAAAAACAAATTCTTTAGGTATCGCTACATGAGTCGTTACTCAAGTTGTCATGCGTTAATAAACATGCGGTGATGAAGGCAAAATATAATATATATTGATTCGCCAGGTTGGCGTCAGGAATATGAATATATTTTATATTCCTATTTATATTTTATATCCAAAAAGGATATATCCAAACAATATATATCCAAAAAGGAATATAAAAAAACAACAATGTATCTATCTAGAATGTTTCGGTTTGAGATGTATACCAAACAGATACGGAGCCAAATTCTCGATCATACAAAATTTATACTAAAATGATTATTTCTTCAATAACGAGGTATTTTATTTAGTGGCAAAGTGAAATTAAGAATCGTGGCTCTCCAGTGTTTTATTATGTGCAGGGCAGGGAATCAAATGCTCATACGTAAAGCATGGGGGGGGGGGAATTTTAAAAAGTTGTTGGTGGCTTTGAGGTCCAGATTTTAAATCATTTCGGATATTGGACGTACGGATATGGGACTTTGTACTGTATATTTTACACAAAACTGCTGACAGGTGGTGAGGTGGTGGGTGTTTTTTTTTTTTTTCCCCCTCTAATACTAGGAAAAACAAATAAAGGGAGTTTTGCATTAAGTCTTTGAAATTTTATAGTGGGTTTCAGTTTTGTATCTTTCTACAGTAACAACCTGTTATAAATAAAGAGTGGTAAAAAGTAATCAAATGTGAGAAAACTCCTCTACATAAATGCTAAAATTGTCATAACCAACGATTATTGTAAATTAACATATTCTGTACAGTGTTAATGAAGTACTTATTGATCTATGTTTTAGAAGCCTGTGCATTTAGTGATTGGTGCAGATACTGTTGTTATAATGGATGGAGAAGCTTTTGGAAAGCCTGAAGGTAACGCAGAAGCACTTGGCATGTTAGAGAGGTAAATATATATTCTTATTGAACCATATGTTTTAACTTGGAATCTTATCTATTTCTATATATACTTTTAATGCCATCAGTTTTTATTATTTTCATAATATTTATCAGATTTGATTGCAAACTAGCGTGATTCAATGCCACTTCAAAACCTTGGAAAGTGTGGAAAGCACTAAATAAATAAATGACTATTTATCACTAGGAAATGTTTTCTTAGGTTAGATTTCCAGCTGCAGAATAGGTTGATTGAATCATCTTTCTTAGTAATTTCTTCATAGGTCATCCAGGAAGGCATTTTAAAAGGGCAAATATTTTACCATCATTAAATCCTGTCTCCTTAAAAATTGTGATTAATTAATTCATTTGCAGAAAAAGCTACCATGCACATGGACTTGAATTTAGTGCCTGTGTAAAGTCTGAAAGTGTGTGTTCTTTCTCCATTGCTTGTACCATACAGTAGTAATCTACTACTATGGAGCATCATCTTAGTAAAAACAGATCACTGATAATTTTCTACTGTTACATGATGAGTAACTTAGCAAGTATTGCCAACTAAGGAAAAACTATTTCAGAGAAATTAGTTGCTTGAAAGTAGTGGGAATATGCTTGACTGCTTTTGACAGCACATGAATTTTTGCTTACATGTGAAGCAAAAAATTATTTCAACTGAAAAGCTGGTAATTTTAACTTTTTTGTTCATGTTTGAGAGAGTGGAATTATTCTAAATGTCATGAAGTGTAAAAAATACACTAAAAGATACTTTTTTACACCTGTGTATAATATTTATATTATATCTGTTAGCCATGGTGACTGTGTATGTATGATGTACGTTTTTCTTATAATAATTTATTTGCATAGTGGGCTATTGCACTGAAGCGCTTGCATGATATAAGTTTCCAAATTTAATATATCTATGTAGAATAAATAGTCATAATTCTTATCAAAATCTAAGCCAGTTGATTAAATTTTTTAGGTGGATTCTCCCATTATGTTATGTGTATTGCTCTTAATGTTTGCAGCCTGTCATTTTATTATTATTTATTATTTAATTTTTCATTAGGCTAAAAAGAGATTGTTCTGATGACCAACTGCATCATTTTCAGGAATAGAATGTTTGAACAGTGGTTGGTTAATGAATGGGAAGTACTAGAGAATTTTCCATTGAAAGAGTTGCTTATGTGGAGATTCTAATGAAAATGATTAAAACATATTATTTTAAAAAAAGAATGAAATTATTATGCTGTGCAGCTATTCAGAACCTAGGAATTGAAACTGGGGCTACGTGCAGCATTCTTTAGCTATTTGGTCATTGGTGGACAGGTATAGATTATTTTTGTAAATAGTTTTGATTGTTGTTAAAAATTAGCATTTTTTATGTCAGGTGATTTTATGCAGGTAAAATATTACCAAAAGCATAAAGCTGTTTTATGCTTTGCACTTTTTAAAATGTTTGTCTTTCTTGCAGCCAGTTCCAACAATTTTTTATCATACGATTTGATTTTTATACCTTTAGTTGCTAACAACATAAGCTTAAACATAGTTATTTTTTCTGTCAATTCAAAAATCGGTTGTTGATTCATTGTGACAAATATGTAGACATCTCACCTGGACCACTTGATTTTCGGTCGTCACTAGGCCCACCAGCGGCCGAGCGGTAAAGACGCTGAACACTGGTAGTTCGGTCTGAGGTTCGAATCCCGCGAACGGGCTGGCTGCATGGGCGTTTTCGTGGTTTTCCCCATGTGTAACGTGTATACGAGCCAGTTTCCCTTAGAAAGTCCTCCACGAAAGGTATCCCTCCCTCTAGGCAGATAGCCCTCGTGTGCTTTGCCATAATTAAATACACCAACTTCGGTCGTCACTGAAAGCCTAGGATTCAGTTTTCCTGTTTCAAAGCCTGGTATTTGCATGGCAGGGTACACTTGTAAACTCTCTTGCCCAAGTATTGATGAAAATAAGTTATTTGGGTCACTGTTATTTTTTGGAACGATTTCTTCAATTTGGTCTGTATCTTCATCTTTGTGGACTTGAATCTCTACATATACTGATTTCTGCTATCTGCATTGCTAAGTTTGTCACAAAAGCATACCTCACCTTAGGCAGATCGTCTTTGTGTGTGTTACCATAATCTAACTAGCCAAACCAAACATAATCCCAAGTGTGGATCCGTAGTCAAGACACATCTTCATAAAGGGTTAACTGAAATTGTGTCATATTCACATAAAACTTGGGCAGCAAAAATCCACAAAAACTGCTATGTACGCATTCTGTTTGCCAGGATTCAGTCCCGCTCCAATTAGTATTCAACGATTTTATTGCTATTTATCTGGTGGCCTTTTGTAGTAGCTTTATCACAAATCTGCAAAGTAATTGCGAAGACACCATTATTGCATACCAACAGATTAATTTAGTTCAGAACTTAAAGAATAACTTTCATTTGTGGTACTGCTGTCAGCATTAACATTTGAAGAGATGTTAATTTATTTTCTAACAAAATTATTTTATTGTAATTAATTTAATTTTTTAGTTAATTGTTCTTCAGACTGTAATTTTTTGTTCGCAGTATATCTAACTCTCATACACTACCTGTTTTGCTTAACTTACACTGCATTAATTTTAAGCGATTTTATACTGATAGATTTCTTTCCAAAAAAGTTTCAAGAAATGTGTATTTTTTTCCTAGAATTTTTAAAACTGTTTTGTATTTCAAATCTTAATAATAAAATTTTATCTAGAAATTCCTTTGGCATATTGATTCTTTCGATTTAATTGAAGTTTTGAGTAGAATATCATTCTTTTGAGATTTAAGAAATTTTTATATGTCAATTTCTGTTTATAAGGAACGCAGAGCCACATATACCAGTACAAAAATCGGGTATGCAGAAAGCGCTGTTTTAACATTTCAAAATGTAAAAAAGAAGACTATACCATTAAAATAACCCACACTTGAAATACGAGAGCAAATAAGAAAGCTGGTTGCAACATTTCATATTTTTTCCTGTTTTTGACAAATCAGAAATAATAATAATTTTTTAATACAAAAATAAAATATTTGATCGCATAGCATATGATTTAGTAAAAAGCATGTCTTCTGTTGCAATTCTTATTTTTTCGTGTTTCTGATAAAATTTGGTAATGCAGTATAACAACATTCAATTCTGTTTGCCTTTCATTTGTATAAAGTACCAGAAGCCAAACTGTTGTAAAACAATTTATCTTCATCCACCAGCTTGCAGTCTCCAGAAAGATAGTACATACCTGCTGTCTAATAGTGATACTTCACTCTCAGGACTCTTCTCTAAAATGCTCTTTTCAAAGACTTCACACCCTAAGAGCTTTGTGTCAACTGACAGTCACCTGCAGAAATGTGGGTGAAAGAGGACCAGAGCACATCAACTAAACATCTTAAACATTTTTTGGGCTTTGCATATACACATCTTAAACATTTTTCGAGCGATTTTAAGTTTGTGTAAACACGTCTAAATATTTTTTAAAGGAAACTCTGAAAACGTTTAAAAACCTCTTAAGCAGTTAAAGGGTTAAAAAATGAGTTGCTGATGCATTGTCATTGAATATATAGATGACTCAGCTAAACCCCTTGACTTTCGGTCGTCACTGAAAGTCAGGGATTCAGTTTTCCTGTTTGGAAGCCTGGTATTTGCATAACGGGGTGCAAAGTCAAAGTGTTGACGAAACAAGTTATTTGGGTTGCTGTTGTTTTTGGACTGATTTCTTGAATTTGATCTGTATCTTCATCTTTGTGGACTGGAATTTCTATCCCTATTCATTTCTGCTTTCTGCAGTATCAAGTTTGATATCTGTTCTGTAAATATTGGGCAATATTGATATCAGGTGGTGGAGAAACAATGCTAGCTACCTGAGGTGCGTTGGGATTTAATTCCCATATCTTGATAGCCATTATCGGTAGTTTGGGCAAATCATTACCGCTTACACACAAAAAAAAAAAAAAAATGCTCTGCATATTTAGCAGTAGCTATTGCATCCATAAAGTTTTCAAATTTCATCTGGCACCTGCTGTGTCACTAAGTTGCGAATTTCGCAGAGAAGTTGGGATGGTTTCTTTTCGCCCAATTCCAATTCAGTCAGAAGTTTCTGATTTCTCTGGGATTCAGAATTGGCGAAAGTTCAATAAGCCTCCTCTTAATGGCCGAATGTTTGCCATCATCTGGTGTTTTGATGAGGATATTAGCAACTTCTAACAATGTCCCTGCTTCAATTGGACTAAAATCATAATGGAATTGTGCTTTGATCTGTAGAAACCATATTTTGGGATTGAGATTCCAAAAAGGAGAAATTTTTAGTGTTTAGAAATGCTAATGTCTCCATTCCTGTTTCAACATTTTCATTTCCAGACATTTTATTGCAATCAGTCAGTCACAGACATGGTCACCAATTTATAGGTTTGTTGATTAAGGACAAATGTATTAACAGTACACTGTAGAGAACAAACGTCTTTAAATAAATTTATTAATGAGAGAACAGGAGTAAAACAAATGATAACAAGTTTCTCTATTTATTGTCTCTATAACAAATTCCAATGTTTAGTTTTTTATTATTGCAATTTGAGCAAAAAGAAAATTGCAATACAAAGAGTTTGACTGATGGTATTTCAGTATTGCAAACAATGTTTCCACATAAAGCCCCACTGTTGTTTCTACGAATTCAGTTCTAAATAACTTTCTAGTTCTGCCTAATACTTAAAAAAAAAAAAAGAAAAAGAAAAAAGAACTTAACTGTTAGATTACTTTATCTTTACAATGTTGATTTTCACCAAGAATTACATTATCCTCTACATATAATGTGAATTAAATTAAGGCTATTTTAAACACAATTACACTGTAGTATTTTCCTAAAACTTAGATTTTCTAAAGTATTTTCAAATTCACAAAATCATTCACAGCCTCTTTGATGCAGACCATAAATGGCCTTGTGTAATAAACACACTTTACTTTTCTCTTCAATAAAGTTCATACAGTACAAAGT